TGCCAAAGTAGCAGCAAATGGAAAGACGTGAGAGCTGCAATATGATGATTACAGAGTAGCAGCAAAGTGACAGCACAATGGAGCTTCACATACGCTACAAGAAATGGCAGTAAATCTTTGAAGGTAATCTTTTGTTTTAAATGCTTAATATTTTCTTGTATTGGGTAAAATGTTAGGTGAGAAAAAAATTGTTTTTTATGGTATTGTTTCTACTATAAATGTAGTAAAATATCAATGATATCTTTGAGTTGGAGTGATATACTCCTCTCCATTTTATGTGCTCTGCTCTTCATCTTCTTCCTCTCGGTTCTCTCCTTTTTTTCTTTCTTTGATTTAAAAAAACCCAACAGCTATCTTACTAGGTGTTGGATTAGGTGGGTGGAAATTAAAATCTGTAAAACTATGATCTACAAAATAATTCTCAAGTCTGGGTACAGCAACAAAGTTCTGATTCCTAAAGTTTGATATGGGTTCATTTGGTAATACTGATAGCCGTTACCTTCTCGTTTGGATCTCATTTGTGGAACCTAAGTGCCCTCTAACCCTTCATCCATAATCCCACCCAAGAAGAAAAACCCTAAAACGGTTGCATCATGAAAGTTCTAAACTTTGACCCAACAAAAACACTTCAATCAAACTAATTAAGGTGTCAACAACATAGAGCAAGAAAATCAAACAAAAACCCAAAACCGCAATAAAGCAATCCCTTTTCTGCTAAAAAAAAAAGAAAAAAAGAGCAAAAACGTACCTTGGAATGGAAAAACCTAACATGAGGGAAGAAAGGAGAAATGGAGAAGAGCAGGGTATTATGGCGGTGTAAAGAAACGGGTATTGGCGTTTGGGTCGTAATGACTTACGATGTCTGTTTAGAGAAGGAAGAAACAATGATTTGCTGCAACGTTAATTGACAATAAAATGAAAACATTCTTGATTAATTGTGAAGGAACAGACAGTAAGGGACATGCAGTTTATGTCAAAAGCACCAAATAGCAAATTAAAAAATGGTTCGTCCCAGAAAAGCTTTGTCTTTTGCTGTATAGGAGATGAACCATGAATAGCGGGGTACAGACGTATAGTTGATCTGAGTTATATAAAAAAAAAAAAAAAGAGAGAGAGAGAAAAATATTAATAATTTGTGCTGGGCTGAGGGTCAAACAATATGAGCCGTTGATATTTTATTCCGATAAAACGTGGCCGGCAACTGCTGACAGAGAGCGGACAGTGAGTGGGACTCTTCTCTTCTAACTTTAAGTATATGATTGACACCTGTCCTGTCAGCCCATAAACAACGTATTGGTTGATGCGGCGCTTAGAGCATGTACAAGTACAACAGCTTGCTCATTTTATTATTATTATTACTAGTTAGTATCCGTGACTGAGTCACAGGAATTTTTTTTAAAAAAAATAATAATAATAAAAAATAAATATAATATATAGTATAACTACATTTATAAATATAAATATATATCCTAAATACTTAAAATTAGTAATACAAAGTTTAAACGCCTTTTTTGGTCCCTCAACTATTGTATGGACTATTGATTGAGTTCCTTAACTCAAAAAATCTTTTATTTGATTCCTACGGTTTACCATTTTAACCCCAATTTGGTCCTTACCATTAAAAATGCATGATGTGTACAGTTAACTAATGAAAATATAATGATCTGTCAAAATATTAAACCTACATGGAAAGACAGCATAGTAAAAAAATAATAATCTGACAATAAAAATTTAAAAATTTCTCTTTTTTCTCCACTCTCTTTCTCCTTCCTGTTCCTTTCCTTGCCTTCTTCATCCATCTTCATCTTCATCTTCATCTTTATCTTCATCAATCAATTCTTCATCAAACAACAAAATCCACAAAAACATAGAAACAATTTTTTTTTAATTTATTTTTGTC